AGAAGGGCATCGAAAATTATTTTGTCTGAAAAAAAGACAACAAAAAAACAAGAAGCGGATACTGAAAGAAACAGGAAGGGCAATATTTTTTATATACTATATAAACGGATGAAGTGCAACCACACGTATTTGAAGAGGCCCGATACGACTTGAGATCTCGATGACAGTTATTTACGATAGCGTACCGAGAGGTGCAAACAGTATTTCGAAATTGAAGCAGTAATAAATAAGTAAATTTTAATATGGCAAAGTTTGATTGTCAGACATTATATTAGATAATTCATCTAATGCGTTCGAGAAGTGAGTGATGGTAGCATCTATCTGCTTCCTTACGTTCAAAGTAAAATTTAATGTCATACATTGATGCAAGTTCAGTATCACGAAATAAGGCATTTTGAAATCATGGTAATTTATATTCAGAAGGTTATTTACTCATTATAGGTAATACCCCCTCAAACTGGTGCCGTATATATTTAGAAATTATTCAGAAAAGGCAGGTAAGCAATATTGGATAAATATTCACAGGGTTTCTTTTGTTATCACTAAGACGATTCGAAGGCAAAAGCCCGAACGCCGACGCATCAAAGACAGATACTTGATGTAGTTTGTTTCACGTTCTATTTTTTGACATTCTCTTGATTTGTTTCATAAGTTATTTCCGGATTTCACGCACACAATTTGTTACTTCACGTGGTCGACCTCCTTAATTCGCTTTGTCGTCCGTACTAATTAGCGACACTAATTAGGCAACTTAATTCGCTCAGTTGTTCATCTTAATGTGCTGTGTCATCCTTCTTATTGCTCTCAGTCACCCTTCCTATTGTGCTGAGTCATCATCTTAATTCGCTTAGAAATCCACTTAATTCGCTTTAATTCACTATAATTACTATTAATTCACTTTAATTCCTTTTAATTAGTTTTGATTACTCTTACTTCTCTTTAATTGTTTTATTGACTTTAATTCCTTTTCATTCATTTCCATTCCCCTTAATTAATTTTGATTCCTCGTGATTCGCTTTATAATGCTTCTTAATTCCTATTGATTACTCCTACTTCTTTTTAATTAGTTGTAATTCACTTTATTTAATCATAACTCACTTTGTTTCCTCTTAATTCGATTTCTTAGCCTTAATTTCATTGCCTCTAATTCGCCTGAGTGGTCGCGTAAACGTTTTCGTACCTTTCGTGTCGTCGACGCGTTTTCGCTCAAGGACTTTGAAGGTCGACTGAACGATAATATATATAATGCTTTCGCCTTTACGATAAGGAAATTTTGATCTCGGGACTGATGTAGGGGTACGACTCGACTGGTCGCACAGTTACTTGAAATGTTACCAGAAGGAAATAATTACGGTATGATTACAAACAAAAAAGGCGATAATCAACATCTTGAACAGCCGAAACTAAGCAACACACAAAATTGGACAACACAAACTTGTGTTGTCCATTTTTGTTTTTTGCTCCTCAAGTCACGGGTTTTCTCGATGTCTAAAGTTCACTTGTTCGCCTGCATGGCTTCTGTTATTCATATCAAAATATAATATTGCGTAGTGCTTTGCAGTTTATTCACCTTCATGATATTTCAGACCTTGACGATAATTAATGGATTTAGATGAATTTTACAGTACCCCAGACCATGTCATCGTTATTACCTTCATATCTGAGTGAAAAAGAATGGAATGTTCGGCATAATGTTAAGGCTTTGGTAAATAAACTGCACAATGGAAAATAAAGAAACAAGCTGATTGAAATCGTGATTTAAATCATAATTAAATTTTGATTTAGATAAAAACTTTTTTTTTGCAAAAAAAATATCCCGAAAATATGTTTTATGTACGTTTGTCTATTTTTTCATGTTTTAATGTGCATTTATATTGTATTAAAATAATGATTAATCGAGCAAGGAAGAAATATAGCATGAATCTCATATGAAAAAGGCGGTACACTTCTAAAGAAATCGGAGTGTTGAGCTTTTTATACAATTTTCACTTTGTTCGTCACCTACGTGAAGACAGACACTTTGCAAGCAAATCAAACCGCGAAAGAACCAAAGCAAAAAAAGGCAATGCCTTATATACAAGCAAATTAAAACACGAATAGATGTAAATACAGCTTTATACCAAAGAAATCAAGCTGCTTTTGTTTTAGCTTGTTGGAGTTTGTATGAATAAAAAACGTATTAATTAAACTATACTTTAAAAAGTTAGAGACATTATGCATGCATCATTTCTTCTGCATCGTTTTTTTATTATCAGAAAAATTGATTCGTTAACTATAATCTTCAAATATACATATGGTTATAAGGAATGACTTTCAGCTACAGTGGGCTAAACAAAATAAATTTGAGTGCAATGAAAAATCTTGATTTAAACTAAATTAATCTCAATCATTTACATATAGAAAACAATTATCATACTTGCACCCTGTTGAACAGGGAACCAAAATAGTAAAATCCACATTCGGTACACGGATTGCCGGATAAAGCGGGGCCTTTTTTTTATCAATTAAAGCAAACGGTTTAGAATATATAGGATTGATTGCGTTCGAGAACTGTGTGATTTGTGTGAGAACACAATTAACGCGTTCTGACACAAACAAAAAAGAAGCTTTATTAGCATTCTATAGTTTGTGCATGCACATTTTCGTGTACTTGCTCAGATTTGTTATTTCTATTTTATTTCACACGTTACTTGCAATTTCAACATTCTCGAATACCTAGTTTGCGGCTCAGCTTAAGCAAAGTTGGATTTTTCTTCTGCTGTACGGCAATCACTGGGCATTAATGAGACGCGGATAAGTCCCTACTAAAACGTTTACCAAGAGTTGCGTTTGATAATCGCCATATCGAACGGAAATTTTTTTTTTTAATGATTAGGTGCGTGTTTTGAACAAAGAGCCCGGAAGACCAATTGTTGTTCCGCCTCTTTTCAATGTACGTCTGATTAGCGTTTCCGCATAAAGTGCTCAGCCCTCTTATTGATTCTAGCCTGTTACTAAGAGAATTTATTTCCATGTTCCCACAACGACAGAAAAGGGCAACGTTTTTTTTTTGTTTTTTTTTTTTACCGCTGTGATATTGCGTCTGGCCTTCCATTCACATAATTAAAGCTTATGTATGGCTCTTCCTTTAATCCTGAGTTGGATTTCTTCACTACCTTTGACAACTTGAAGGAACGCGTGTCATTGCTTGTTGCTTCTTAATTATAATTTTCTTTGACTTCGTCTACGCTCACCCGCCCTATGCCTGCCATCTCTGTGGGGCACAGAAAAACATGCATACATTAATAAATGATGCAACACCTGACGCGCTGATGAGGGAAAATGAAGAAATTGCTTAGTCGAAGGAAAAGACGACAGTAGGAGAACATCTCAATAGGAACACGTCTCAAAGAACGACAGTAGTAAAACGTCTTACTATTTATCGTTAATAAATTGATTGTTTGATTTGGGACCCTCTTATCGTTTGGTCATTGACTAGTACACTTGAATAGTCTTTTCTACGTATTACCTATTCACTTATGTTGTTTTAGTATACCAGCTGTAGGGTTCATCCTAAGGCACATATTTTTTTAAAAGGATGGCTAGCTCTAAAACAACATGTCCCGCGAACACTCTTTTGCTCCTCCGTGTCATTTGGTCATTCAATGATTATACTTTCCACTCTACATGAACTTTCAGCGACACTTAAATCCTTCGTAAATATAAAGCCAAACCGGCAAGACTGGTAACAGGACTCTTTTGAAGTGCTTAATAAGAGCGAAAGTTACAACAACAAATGGGCCCGAACAGCGTTAGTAACACTATTTGCTGTGCAACCTGGCAGCATAGTGTTAGGATTAACGTATCCGATTTAATATGGTGACTACGCGTGCAGAGGTACAAATTTGAACTGACTGAATGCTGATGGTGTTTATTTTGGGTTTTTTAATGAAGATGAAGATGATGTTATCCTTCTCCTTTACGATATATTGTCTTTTTTTTTTCTGTGGAGTATTCAAACTATCGCCTCCTGCATGCTGCCATATTTGTCTACTGGGCTATATGACTGTTTTGAACATGAACAGTAGCTCTTCATCTACAAGACATATTACGATGAGCATGCGTCCACAGCATACTAACACTAACATTTTATCCTGGATGGTAAGCGCTGGAGACGTATGTAGAATTTTATTTAAATATAGCGCTTTGTGACGCCCTGTCGTTATCGGCCTCTGGTTTCTTGCTACCTATCTCTTCAAGTTCAATATTTTCCTCCGTAAGCAAAAATTTTTACATGCGCGGCATACCAGTGAAGTGGTGCTACATTTTCGCGATAACATTTTTACTTCTACTAAAGACAGTTTGATCCTACACGTGTAGGACAAAATTGTTTCTTTTTTCGTATCCCATTGAAAACCTATGCGAAACAATAAAAGTTTGAAAGTGTAATAAAAGGAATTTAGTATTTCATATGGCTGCATATACGTGTAATATATATAAATCACAAAATATTGACGGTCATGTGTGTCGCTTCTATTAAAATAAATATATCGTTAAGTAGACGTCAATGAAAGATGGAAAACATTTGACAGGAATAGTATCCTAGAGGACCTTGGTCAAGCATCATTTAGACCTTTTGCTAAATTATCTAATCATTAACGGAAATGCTTGGAATGTAGGTCTGTGTGCCGCACGCGCTCACCTTTTCCGTATAAAAATTCGAAGTAACTAACCAATCTCAGGCGTTGACAGACACCTGTGCCAGATGTCTTTTGTTTTATGCATTTGCTTTAGAACAGTTACTGCTGCAGATGCAAGCACGTGCGGCACGTAGACCTACATTCCCAGCATGCTCCTTGATGTTTGGGTAATTTAGCAACACGTCTATTGACTTGTACGTTCTGAAGTGAGAATACAGTTTACTTTTTCTCAATAGGAATAAATATAATGAATAAAATATTTCACAAATGGTACGAATGGATACTCATCCCGTTCCACTGCGTCTTTTTGTACAGATGTACAACAAGGAGAACCAGAGTCAGTCAACGAGCCCAACCAAATTGCACAGCCGTTGGACCGAGTTGCCCGCACCGCCGACCCCGACAATGCCAAGGACACCAGCGGCAGGGATCCCTACTCGGATTACAGGACGCTCATGGCGCTTATGGGTCCCAGGCGGCACCGGTACCTTCATTTCGGACGCAAAAGAGCCCTGCCTCTTTACTCGGATGTTCCCGTCGACCAAGTGGAAGGCAGTGATGACTATATCGGCGACGACTACGACGCCTCTTCGGCCGAGTCCTTGGAAGATGCTATGCGCTGGACTAAGCCGTATCTGGGAGACGGACTCCACGAGGACGTGGTCCTCTCAGGCGCGCCGGAAGATGGTGAAGTGATTAGGTAAGCCAGAGCTTGGTCCGCAAACAGGAACATTCAACGTGGAGTGCACACTTGCACTTATGCTTTTGTAGTCACTGACGGCGTAAGAAAAATAGGGAATGGATGATTGCCTCCATACTTCTTGGTTCGGAATTCGTTGTTCGGTACTTCAATCGGCTGTGTGCCGCCAATTTACTTGCCGCGGAGGAGTAATCAGACGCCTTGAAGTCGCCACGCTCGGAGTTTCTTAACCCATCAGTGACTAGAGTGCAGTGAGGAGTCGAAGCACTGTCAATTACTGTGTTTTTGGTCATTTAGAAAATAAAAGAGTCAGTGATCATTTTGTGTGAAAAAGAGGTATGCAATACAAAACATGCAAATTCGAAGGTCTGCCTAACTTTTCTCTTGTAATTGGCATTTATCTAATGTGCTGTTCAAATCGATCCTGCACAACGGAGACGTCAACATTTTTTTTTTTAAATTTCAACTTAATTTTTTATGCAAGGCATAGCTCAAGGAATGTTGCTTTATTAATTGCAAATATTACTAGTGCTTCCTTGGAGAAAGACATGAGCTGCCTGACCGCATGTCACAAGGACTTCGCAGTTCAGAGGATTGCTCTTTTCGTTGCTTACAATTTTTATTTTTAATATCTTCCATGTCTCAGGTACAAAAGGGACGTCAGTGCGGCGTCGGTACGTGACGACGGACTTAACACCAATGCGGACCAGGAGAGACGACCGCTAATTGAAGTACACGACGAGCTCGCCAGAGACGGGAACGCCGGTCCCTACCTTGATTGGCAAGAAAGGGAAAAGAAATCTCCAAACCGTATGCTGCACTTTGGCAAGCGAGAAAGACAACATGAATCTACCCAGCTGGGATCTGATGAAGTCCAAGGCTACATAAAGCGGGCAATAAATCGTATTCTGCCTTTCGGAAAACGCATTCAAGACCACGCAACATCGGACTTTCAAGTGAACGACTACGGCTGGTATAGCAACGATGACAAGAGAGCTATGAACCGGATTATGCATTTCGGCAAGCGAGAACCCGAAGAAATCTTAATTAGTGACAAATCGTCGGGTCCCCAGATCCAGATACATGGAAACGATAAAAAGTCGATCAATCGCATCTTGCATTTCGGGAAGCGGAAAGGCAACGAGGCGTTTGATACTAATCTAGTGGAAAGTGGTTACAGCAAAACAAACGCACGATCAAATCGAATCATGCACTTTGGAAAGCGAACAGATGATGGCCTTATTTCGGAGTTTGATCCGGAAAGCCACACAGCTTCAAAACGTGTAACCAACAGAATCATGCATTTCGGAAAACGAGAGTCAGCTTTTTTGAGTCCCCTAGAAGACCAACTAAAGCGGGACTTTCTCGAGTGGAAGAAGAGGTACACCGACAGAATGCTTCACTTCGGGAAGAAGCGGCCTCAGGACAGATACACTGATAAACGGATCACCAACCGAATCATGCATTTCGGCAAGCGGGGTGTAATTTTTCCGCTATCAGACGAAACCGACGATAGCACGGGGAAACAAAAGCGCCAGTTGAAAAATTCCATCCTTCATTTCGGTAAGAGAGACGACGAGATGTCTATTGAAAAACGTACGAAGAACCGGATCATGCACTTTGGAAAAAGGGAGGAAAGATATCCCTACGAGAACACGCTAACATCCGACAAGCACCTCGGAGACCGGATTCTTCACTTTGGAAAACAGGAGCCCCATCACCAGGACGCAGACTTTCTAAACAAACGCAGCACGGCTAACGCAGATCTTCAGTTTGACAACGAATACAGCGAGAGCCCATACCTCGTGGACAAAAAGATCACCAATCGCATTTTGCATTTTGGCAAGCGACTTGATGGCTCCGCAGAAGATCCGGGAAAAGTCAGCGGCAAGTCCAAACAGGACGTCCCCTCCGTCAACAGCGATATTAAATTCGAAGACAGCTTCCTCGTCGAAGAACACAAGCCGCACAACAGGAGGAAACGATCCCTTGGCTTCGATCAGTACGACTTGGACGAGACTCTCGAGCGTGTCGTCCACCAGCTGATGGACGCCGGCTACCCGAAAAGAGTCGCTCTGGCTCATCCCGGCATTCCTGGGCATTTGCATCTACCGCACGCCTTTGTGGCGGCGCACGTATATGGCAGCGAACTTCCGCGTATGCTCAGCCGGCCCAGTCGAAGCGACAGGTTTTTCCCTGTCCCGTACAGTGGAGAACACCGGGAGGCGCCCAAGGGTCCTTCTCGCAACGTGTTCCTGCACTTTGGCTGAAGCCTCTCCAAGACGCTGAGCCGTGGCATGAAGATCCTCACACCCTCCAACACTCCCCTCAGCATGCTTGCGTCCCATCCCTTGCACCATGATATCGGGCAAAACACATATCAACATTTAGCCTGGACTAAGAGGTGGAGATCCTCACCCCTAAAAAAATATTGGCGCCAACAACTGACAACAAGATGATTTTGTGCTACAGCTATAGTATAAAGGGTTAGGAACACCTCTGACGCAGACGACAATTACGTCGAATGTTTAAATGTTTGCTTTTAATGGCTTGTGTTAAGCAAACGTGTTGCAGGCGATCGAGGTAACATCAGTCGGTCGTACAGCGTATCTGCTCCGCAGACAACTCGAACATCGAGAGGGTAGCAGATATCCTCGATCATAGTCCGCGGGCCGATATCGACAATGGCTATAATATATATATGACGTATTTAAGCAGAATTCAGTTGTTGAGCGATTCCATAACACGTCTCGTGGGCAGAATGTAGAAGCTTATGTTGGTGTGGGGGTGTGGATGACGTACTCCGTTTGCTCCTCCTCTAACGGTTTTGTGGATACTACATGCTGGCTTAGCAAGGACACCGCTGTCCGTTCGTTTTGCCTTTGGAAAGACTCCCCTGTTTTAAAACAAACACCGAATGAGCGGAGCGATTTTTCAACGAACGCTTCGTTCGCTTGGCTAAATTTAAGTTACATTCCGTTAATTTTTATAACCGCTGACAACTCGAGGAACCCAAATCGTAACCAACCCCAAACATCCCATTAATATGTTGTAAGGTTAAATACGATTCCAGGGACGCTCACCATGTTTGCGACAGCTTAAGCTCAGCAACACTCTGTGATAAGATGCGCGCCACCTTAGATAATTATTAAAAAAAATATAATTATGAGAACCTCAAGGTAGCTTTGTCGTCACAGAAACTCCCGTGCAGGATGACATAGTATATTGCTGTTTATTACAGATATCCCGGCTCTTCCTGTTTGCTCTGCTATACAGTTAAAACAACAACCATGAGATGTCATAGTGACATCGTGGCCGTTACAGAAAGTTTAATTTAGAGCCAGATGCAGCGTGTTAAGTGGTTAATGCCCGCTAAAGTATGAATATTGATAGACTGAAAAGCTCTGGGCGTGAGAAGCTCGATGCATCGCGAACGTAGGACGACATGTCCCACTTTTCTAACCTTGGGAAGCGAGCTGGCAGGTTCATTTGCGTACGTGTTCTAACCTTTCTGCCTTGCCTGGCATACCATCCATCGTAATAATCTTTTTGAGCAAATAAATATTTTTTTATATTAATATTAAACTCTAAATGCTCATGCCCTACAAAAAAAGCCAATTTAATGTCACTTCCACCGAATGGCATTCGAGTGATCGTCCGATCAGCGCTGGCATATTCCATTCCACTCGCGACACTCGTAGTTAAAATCGAGATCTGATTCGGCGATTAGGTAAGTGGCATTCAATAGAAGTTACATTAACTCACCCGTCTTACGGGGAACTTAATATCTCGGGCCGAATTAACCAGGACAGGACTCGTTTGAGGTGACTAAGTGATTGTGCTCATAGTTGAGGAGAAAGAAAATCACTCTGATCAATTTGTTGACCGCTCGTCTTTGTCTTTTTATTTCTTTTACAACTGAGATATTACACCGGCAAGAAGCCCCTTAATTAGACCATTACACGGAGGTTCTATGTATGCCTCTAAATATAGCAACATTTTCCATTTAAATAAGCACTTTTTTTCTGATACGGTATCGTGTTTGTTTTGTTTTTTGTTAGTCGGTCTTAGAATAACAAGTGTGCCGCCTAACGACAACCCGCTATAATTGATAAGCCACCGGCTTTTGACCCACGAGAGCTGGATTGATTTTCCATTTCTTAGCGTCAAGGTTGGCCGTGAGACGGTTTACTGCTCTGCCACGTGAATAATTTTGACCGCTTGCAGTTTTCATTTTTCTCCCATATTTCATGTAGATATACCTCACGCAGCATACGCTTCTCTGAACGAATTCTGTCCGGCTCCGCGTACACTTTGAAACCGAGTTTGTGCAAACTCGAGATTGTCAGACAAAAGAATAACTTCTAATGGTGCAGTGGCGTGCGCATCACGTGCTGAGCCAGCCTCTGTGTATCAAACGATTTTGAGCTATTTTTTTCGATCTTGCATTTTCTTGTCTCCTGCCGACTGGATCAACATAACAATTATTTTTCTTAAATTAATTCAGAAAGATTATGGCCAGACGTCCAATTCGTCCTTAACTTATAGTGCTCCACAGCTGCTCCCTTCAAAAATAAAAAATTTCCAGCAACATTTTTACTTGGAATTCTAAATTCATGCAATTGAATATTTACATTAGGACTGCATAAATTCCCTTAGTATACAATAGGCAGACGTTTCGGAAAAGAATGCATATAGTGTTTATAAATTTTCCAAATAAATTCAAGAAAAATGGACGCCACGTGACCGAAAGTGGTGTGACACCACGGCCCCACACCGTGACGGCTTGTCATGTGAGCGTAAATCACGGTGGACTTAAATGGATACACTTTCATTAGAAAATCCACATCTTGACGTTACATCGTCATGTTACGTGATGTAATAAGGACACATGACTAGGTCACGTGATACGACATGACGCTGCCGCGCAGTGGCGTAACTTAATTTTTCTGTTGCCACGCGACCTCAATTTCAGTGCCAAATTTACTTGGTAAATTCCGGAACGGACAGACGGGCGAACGAAAACATTTATACAATTATTGGGCTCGTTAAGAATCATCCCAGTTTTGAACCGACGATCGCTTCTCCGCACTAACCGGGTAGCGCTTTCAAGCTGGAAGAAGAGGACGAAAAATCAACGGCTAAATGGGGAACCGCAAAGCAGGCCCTCATATTGGGTTCCTCGGGTTGTTGGCAGCAATGATGCGACCGGAATGTCGGAATCAGCGACGTTCAGAAACGTCTACACTAAGAGCCAGATTCCAACTGCACATCTACGCTGAGAAATTAACGTGCAAGGTCCAACGCACCAAAATATATTTATTACCCTCCGTGCGGGTGTCACAATTGTGCGTGTTCATAGTCTTCATCTTATATTTATTTCTCGCCTTCAGTGTCATATGTGTCAGCTTTCTTTTGTTAATTTATTTCTCTTCGTGGCCTTTTATGAGAAATTTAAAAAAAAATTGAAACAGAAAAGAAAAAAAAACAACGGAAAAATAGCTCCAAGGAACGGAAACAATGTCGACAAACGCGCCGAAGTGTCCAAAGACGGGATTTCAATAAAAATCAGTGAACATATTGAAAATAAATGAAAAATGTGTTTCATCGCAGAATGACTTCTTCCTCGATTTTTTTCGACAACTCACAAACCTTTTACCTTAATCAATAAGCCAACAAGCATCACATTACATCCTAGGAGCTTCGGTTAAAGGTTAGTGGTAAAAGTTTTATTTTTTTTTTTTATTCTTCGAATTAAGGCTTTCGCTGTAAGTATCTATTTCAAGGCGGAGCTCGGGTAAGCACCTTCTGCAGACGATGCACGTCTGCAGAAGGTGCTTACCCGACATAAAAGGGCCTATGTCTTCAAGACATAGGCCCTTTTATGGCCTATGTTTTGAAGGAATTGGCGACGGTACTAAAATAATATTATATAGGAATTGGATCGTTAGTTTGTAGTAGCAAACTAACATAATCACAGGCAGCGGCGTAGAGTTTCCATCTTCCCGGGGGGGGCAGACCCGGAATGTGGCTCAAAAAAAAGGGGGGGGGGAGGCTGCGGGTGGGGGGGGGGGGGGTGGGAGAGGAGGAGAAGGTCCTTGTTTTATTTGTTCCGTGGGTTCTCCCCATAAGGGTCACCTGCAGCAGTCGGAGCCTTTACCGAGCATTTTGGTAAACCCGAGACTGGAGAAAAAGGGACAAGGACATAAACAAACGGACACGGACATTGTGACAGCTAACTACCTGGTGTCCCCAAATAAGACGCTCCGCAAAAGAATGACCCGGAAACATCAGCGGTTGGACGCATCCAGTAGAAATTTCTCTGAATACGTGTTTTACTGGCCACATTTATGCAAACATATTGCAAGACTAAACTACCAGTACAAAAAAGCGAATCTTTTTTTTTTTTCTGCAGGGATAGTTCGGGTCTAAAATTTTGTTGCATAAATGTGACCAGTAAAACACGTATTTCAGGAATATTCCTACTTGTTGCACCAAGGATCTAAATTTTGCGGGCCATTTTGTGTGTAAAGTGTATTTTGAGATGCCCATATAGTACCAAACTCCCCGAGTGGATACGCAGGCGCACCAAAAGTGTTAATTCTGAAAATGGTGAACAGGAGAAAATTAATCTGCTGTAACCATGTTTTGTTTATTTTGTTAACACATGCAGCAGGGGAGAGTGGGGTAATGGTGGCACAAGAAGCTTTAATTATACGACTGACTTCAATTTTAAGAGGGCCAAAAATAATTCTCAGACGGTAGCAAAGACCATTTGATACCACTATACCTTGTGCGAAGCTGGGGTCACAAATTTTTCCGCCAAAAGTTGTTTTCTGGACGAGTATTCGAGTTGCTGTTCGGTGACAAGACTGGTAGTAAAGCCCTTCACTGACCAATCAAAAATGTGTACAATATTTTCTTGGCCGAAAGGGCATTCATTTGTAGACGCGCAAGAAATTAAAATTTTTTTCTTGGCGAGCAGGTCTGCAGAATCAGTCACTGACTCACTGTGTCGGGGATGCTTCCTATTCTCAGAAGCATTTTTGTTGTCTAAAAACCGACAGAGATGTCGCGACGCTTTCAAGACTTTTTTTAGCCTGTCATAGCTGAAGCGGGCACTTCAGCTGTTCATTCAGACAACATATTCCGCGCATCTAACTCCGTCTGAGGGGAATTTTCCACTGAATGTCTGACCTGTCACTGTCCCGAGATCCACCATTTAAAAGCCTGAAAGGAAATAAGAAGCGGGAATAAACAGGCCCCTGTGAAATAGCTGCCAGTCAGGACGGCCAACAGTGGGGGGGGGGGGCACGAGCCCCACTGCCCCCCCGTAGTTGGCACTTATGATCACAGGGATCTAATCTAAACATATGCCACAACCAACATAATATGACAGTCACAGATATACGTTCTAAACTTGGTCCCTCCGAGTAAGAGGGATTTTTTTTTTTAATTTCTGTTTAAAGGTAGGGGGGGGGGACTGCAACTCTCTTAAATGAAGGGAAAGCAAGCACTGTAAAGGTCATTCTCGTTTTTTCAAGAGGGACAGCTTCCCTTTAAGTGGAAGAGGGATAACGGCCTTCTTAAAATTTGGAGGGACACGGCTTCTCTTAGAAATGTCCCACTCAATTCCGCTTCTCATTTCAAGAGAGCCTTAATCGTTTTTAGATATCGCTCTTAAATTGCCAAGGTACTGCGCCCCGGTTAAAAAAAAAATAAAAGGGCGTGCGTGGCGTGGCTTTTTAATTATATTTCATATAGCAAATTACACAAGAAACGTATATTGCCCAATGCACAAAACTCTGTGGCTCCTGCGGCGAATTAAAGACAAAAAAGCATTGTATTATGTTGCCACAAGAATCACTGTTTTTCGAATTTAGGTAAGAGCTTCCTCAGCCTTTCCGTCATAAATGCGACCGGGAACTCCTCTTCCTTGACGATTGCCGTTTGGACTAGTCCCAGTGTCTGCCCATATGCTGCCGGATAAGAAAGCGCTCTCACGTAATAAGCGCAGAGACACATGACTCAGAACACCACACTTCTTCGAGTGTGGTGTTCTGAGATAACTGGACAGCCTGATTTCCACAGAATATTTCTTTCTGTGCTCCAAAAAAAAATCTTAGGGTCCGGAGCGACGGCGTCTGGATCCCGTATTTCCTGGAAACAAAGAAACGAATTTGGCATTAGCTTTCTCTTTGACATACCGGTAATTCTCTCAATTATAAGCGAAACATCTATAAAGTGATGCCTACTACGGGAATGAGGCAGCTCTTTGCCAGGCGCGCCCGAAGATAGTTGTCGATGTCAAGGAACGTTGCGCAGCTTGTGTCGTTGAACACCTTCTTGATCAAATCCAGTTTGGATGTCATATCCTTCATAGGGGACTTGAAGCGAAACTCGGCTTCGACCATGAGCTGTGGAGTTATTCTAGATTTCATATATCTTATGAATTGCAAGATTACCAAAAATACTTACCACTTCCTGTGCACACAGGTAGCTCGGGAGCATTTCCACTGGAGCAGCTGTTCTTAGTTCGACAGTCTCTGACAAGAGTACAGCTACTCGCTCAACATTAATTGTACCCAAATCGCCTCCCCGAGACTCCAATGTCTGAAAAAAAAAGAAGAAAGGAACAGTCCCGGATATCCACGTTGGACGACATGAGTTCATAGACATGTGCATGTAGCTTATATCTGCAATAACATTCCAAAAAAAAAAAAGATAAAAAGAAAGGAAACAGACCCGTACACGCTTACAAATTGCCAGCAGCACTCCGCTCTGGAAAAACGAAGAAGTCGCGACATCCAAAGAGCAAAGATTGCGGTTTTTCAAACTATACCAAAAGCACGTGAGCGCCGTTAGTTACGACGGGAAGCGGGTCAATTTACACAAAAAAAACCAAAAAACTAACGACATTTAGACCGCAAAGAGCATGAGGCTTCCGAACACACCAAAAGAGGGCGAGAGCGGTTCGTTACTTCGGGTGGCGCGCCAAAGAACGGCCACAAAGAGAAGAGCGGAGGCAAAGAGGTTCCGTCGCTGGATCTCATTCCCATTAAACTACTACGCAACAGCAAAAAGAGGAAAAAAGGAATAAAGCTCGTGGTTCTCGTCACGGAAATGCAGATATTTGAATAACTCACCTACGATTCGGTGATCCATTTTAGTATCACCAGGGCCGGTTTTCTCGAAGCGATGGTAAACCCATTTTGGTAAACCACGGTGCCTAGGAAGGAAAAAGTACCTAGGTACTGTAATAAACGGCTGGATATAGAACAACAATAATTATTTTTGATTTGGCAGTAAGAGGCGCCATCTATCGGTGAAACAAGCCGGTCAATTTGTTTATCCTCTTTTTTTGCTGGTTGTTATCGATCTAGTATGGTTTTTTTAAGTCAAAATATAGTAATGTCGTACTTGAAGACCAATTTATTTGCTTCAGATGCTATGAAGAAATTTTGGCTACTATGCTAGAGTTTGTCGACGAATATTCGAAAATGTAAGAAACATTTCTTTCAATATCTTTCGCCATAAACAACGCATAACTTTCCCGTGTGCCTTCCAGACTGGCAACGCCGTTGCTGTAGTCTCATTTTTGTTCCTTGCGACGCGCGTTTCTGCGATTCCTGCTGATCTCAACTGTTTGCCTTCTCTTCCGTTTGCCCAACCAATCCACCGGTGGCGAGAAGCTAAGCTTCTCGTCACCGGTGGATCTTGTCACCGTTGAATTGCTGGCCGCCGGGGATATGTGGAAACCTCGATGCTGTCGGCATACTGTCGGCGCACTGCGAACAAAAAAACCGTACAATGTCCCAGCTGTTCACCCAGAACGAAGACTTTATCAAGGATACCCCCTTTCCCCGCAAAGTAATCGCTGCTGACGAGTCGGCGTGCATAGTGTAACAAATTAAACGTGTTAGTATAAATATATACCAACACTTGTTCGCAAGACATTTTTTTTACTTACCATAAGAACACTTGCAAGGCTTATGTACCGTCATATGTCTTGAATCCCGGACTGCTGAAGAGTGATGCGTTCGCGGAATGCTGCCGTCGGTGAGTTTAGTAGTCCCGCTGAACTACCGCTCTGCTTGACGTGCTAATAGGTTGATGGTGCGACATTAATATAACAGCCGAATCGAAATGAATGTGCAGCAGAACCAAGCAGAACTATTAGCCCTCATTAAGCGATGTCGCGGCCATTTTGCTTGTAGGTACTGCTCCTCCCTCGGCGCCCCTGCTCTCCCAGTCACGTGACCTAGAATTCCCCCTTCCAGCGAAAATAGTTAACTTTAAACCACGGTTGGCGTTCGAGAAAACAGGCCTAGGAGCCAAGACAAACTGTAATGGCGTCTCAGTTCCACGAGGACAAATAACGAGTCAATGACTCACTGGAGTAAACGTTTTGGCGAAAAGCGGGAAACCGCGGTACCCCTTTCTTGCTCCGAGAACTTTTTGCAGCGCACATTTACAGGCTTCTCGCATAGTCGACGCCAGACTACATGCCAGTTCAAGGTCGCACCCTTTGGCTCCTCGGGAAAAAAAAAAAAAAATATCAGGGGGACGTTGCTGAACGTTTAAGAGGGATGGTTGCCTTTTTTGTCTG